TGGGTACGACTAATCTGTGTACATATGAGCACATGTCATTAGGAAATTTTGCATCGAATTAATATAACAATTCGCAGAGAATAAATGAAGTTTTAAATTTCAACATGTGTTACTGAATATGATAGACATCCATCAAGTGTGCTCGAAAGATCATCCGCGTGTGAATGTCAGTACTATCTAATAAGTTTTATCTTAAACACATCGGAGACAACGCAACATGCTATCTACTTCCGGCCTATTTTTTGTCCTCTTTGCCTTCGTAAGTATACCGTTTACCTATTTTTTTGTGTCTATATAATTAACGAGACTAATACATAGTTGGTTGATTATCACGTTTCTATTTTGTTTGCTTTGCTGATCCATTTTGACCCTTATAGTTGAGTTTACAGTTTTGCAATTATTTATTATTGAAATTTGGGAAATGTCAACGTGGTTTGATACTAAATTTGCGTGTCACTTTGTTTTTATGAGACATACAAGCTTGTTGTGTGTTTGTGCCCGCGACTCGCGTGGAATAGTGACTTCCTGTAGATTTTTGGTATAAAAATATCCTATGTTCCTTCTCGAGTTGCAAACTATGTCTGTACCACATTTCACAGAAATTGGTTCAGTAGTTTAGGCGTGAAGAAAAGACAGACAGAGTTACTTTCGCATTTATAATATTAGAATTCAGATCAATGATTATGGAAATATAACAGATACTATCTATAGAGTATAAATTCGTAAGAAAAATGAACTTACCTATTGATTTTTATATGAGTATATCGACGGCATGAATCACCTACATCTATAGTACCTGTATAGTGTGTCCACAACTACCTACAAATTCAGGTGAAACCAGCGATATGTTATATTAGATTAGTCACCTGATACGAACCACCCAACTAGAGTAATATATCATGTCGTAACACTGTAATTAACGCTAACAAACAAACTAATATGACAGCGGTCCAACCATTACTACAATGTTTATTACATTTCAGAATAAACTTTATAAATGATACAATTCAATGAGCAAGCCAAGGAGTCAAGATATAATCAGTGCAGTCCAAGAAAGGAGGTTGTTGTTTTAATTGATTTATAAGAACACATTATAGCCAATTAAAGTTTTCTTAGCAATTACATGGACAGTTTATGGACTCACAGCGTTTATTATGTAAAAGCTGCGTACTGATCTTATTTGAGTTGTCGTTTTTTGTGACATCGAGCATTTGTTTCTTGAGTAAAAGTCGAGATCTCTGCGCCCACGCTTCATTAGACGAGCTACTGAATCCTCCGCTTACACCACATTCGATTGTAATTAATCCCGTTATACTGTCGATAATTGCTTTTATAACTTTTTAAACAAACAAGCGTAGGTGTACAGATGTTTTGGACAATTGTTTGTCGCGTTTAAGCGGGTTCTGTACCCATAGAGGCGCATAAAACACAGTTCAAAGTCACCAGTTACCGCTCATTGACAGGTGCTTCGTTAACTCTCGCTTAATCCTAATTAATAGACTATTAGTGTACGTTTTCAATTACCACGAATGATTTATAATAACCATACAGTAAGTGTGCGCTGATAAATGTCCATAGCGATTGTGGTCACATAAATAAACAGGATTAATGGTTAAAAAAAAAACATTTTTATCAATGTTTTTCGAGAAATTAAAAATGTCAAAATATTGTGGTCCGCGTCCGACTTTAATTACGATATATTTTGTGAGATAAAATTTTTATAGTCGCATTAATTCGGATTAGTGGCATCTATTATTTTCTCGTTTTCGGGTAGAAACGGTTCGCACATTTTAAAAGCGAAATTATGAGATTTTTTCTTTGAACTAAATGTTCAAACATCCTATTTAGTTCTGTATAAAGACATTAACGCCAAATAAAAAGCCAAATTAACGTTTAAAGGCGATCCTTAAATGAGACATCACAGAAAATGGCATTTGTTTTTCAATTTATTTAAGGCAAGAACTAAGTAGATAATAAATGTTATTAAGAAGACCTTTTGTGAACAATCATCATAAATTGCTTGAATGTTCAATTAGCATGCATTTGCTCATGTTTGGGTGTAAGCCAACATATAAGAATTGTGGAGGCGTTGCAGACACGCCTAATTGTATTGTTACTCATCCATTTTATTTAGAACTCAGTAATAGAGTTTACTTTTTGATTTATTTGTTGTATATCCGCTTTTTGTTGGCTACATATATTTATGTATAGTTATATGCAGCACTGGTTTTAAGTCTCAACATTGCTTTGGAATCAGAAAAGATATTATTGTTTATTATTATTGTTGGCGATTACTTTGTGCTATTTATGTCCTGAACTTATAAGAAGACTTAAATCTTATATTTCGTTTACCATTTTTTGTTCGTTTTGTTATATGACCCGTACGTAAAAACGACGAGTTTGTTCTCGATAACGAGCATAATTTCCAAATCTTTGTTACCTATGCATTGCTAAGGTTTTTTTTAAACATTCACTTTATAATGAGTGACATCTGTCGAAAATCATTTAGTCTTATCAAAAACCTAGCTTCGCTTTAGAACGGACTGGTAGACTATTATTATTACTACTATATTCTATTTTGACGTTTCAAAAGTACGTATTTAGTTTAGGTTTACTTGGAATAAATTATATTGACTTTGACTAAAAGTACCAATAAAATGGAAAAAATATATCCGTACTTTTATTAAATTTTACGTAGCTAATGTATGAAGAATGAACAACAAACTCTAGTTGAAATTAGCATAGATAGTAAAATATCCGCGGATCGAAGGACCATAATTACACTTACAAGGTGTGCAAAGCAAATAAACGTACATGATTCTTTATGAGATAAAATGTTAATAAAGACAGTTGAACTATAAGTGGTTTGTAACATTTTCTTGTATTATATGGTGCCAGTACTAAAGTTGATTCTTTGTGTGAATCCACTGTTCCATATATAGATAAAAGCCTTCGAAGTGAAGAGTTTGTTGCGGTTAATACGTTGGCTATTACGGAGATGTGGAGTATGTGAACAGAGTGTAGGGTGTACAACTCATTAAGGCGATAGCCATAGATCAATGTGCAACTAAACAACGGAATATAAAAATGCAGTTTATATTTTTAATGTTCTTATGAATTTGAGTTTCAATTGGTTCTACATAAGCTTCAGAGTATTTTTGTATCAATTAATGTCAAATTCATTATACGAAAAAAAAAACAAAATGAACTAGACCCGATTTTTTTTTGTGAGGGGAAAATCATTAAATGACTTCTCCCACCCATAGTGTCAGACTCTTACTGACTAAAAACCCCCTGTTCCTTCTCCTGCTCTGGGCCGAGGTCGCAGACCTGATAAAGTTTTGACTTAAAATCACTATCCAAATAACTAAATCGTCCAATCAGAGTACTAAATATTCTAATTACATTTCAATTATTGACCAATGGAAACGTGTTATTCACTGATAAGATAGCTTCCATTGGTTCAATATTTTCATCCATTTCAAGACCTTTCCAATCGGTTCGTTATAATTTCTGATCAACATCGTAAATCGTAGTTGGTTAGCTTACAATGTATTTATGTGAAGAAATTGAGTTTGGTGGACACGGAACAATGCATCGTAGACCGAACCATTATGGACATGAAGCATTGTATTTCAATCGTCTCCAATGTTTATCGGGAACTGAAAGTACAAGTCAATCACTTTGTTCTATGTAACGTTTATCTTCGATTTGTGGTTTATGACGTTTCATCTTATTGCATCTCTTCTGTGTTTGAGATTGAGAAATTTTGAACTATGTTTTAAAAGATTTCTTGGGACGAGATTGACAGTGAATTTCATGCTTCATTTTTTTATGTAGTATATAGGCAAACAAGCAGACGGATTACCTGATGGTAAGTAATCAGCGCCGCCCATGGACACCCGCAACGGAGTAGTTACGAGTGCGTAGCCGACCTTTTAGGGATTAGGGATTTGGAGATTTAGGGATTGAGGAGGGATTGGGGGTGGGGAAGGATTGGGCTTCCGGTAACCTCACTCACACGGCGTAGCCGACCTTTTAGGGATTAGGGATTTGGAGATTTAGGGATTGAGGAGGGATTGGGGGTGGGGAAGGATTGGGCTTCCGGTAACCTCACTCACACGGCGAAACAACGCTGTGGTTATTTCACGCCGGTTTTCTGTGAGGCCGTGGTATCACTCCGGTCGAGCCGACCCATTCGTCCCACACTTTCATTCTTCAGATCTTTCTACTCATCAAACCCCAAGTAAACGTGGTTCGCGCACCTATAGTTCTTCTAGACTGTCTCTTATAACCACGATTGAAACGTTAATGAGATTTAGATAAGATATAATTGAGACAGGTCATTGTTAAAACGCTCAGACAACAACGAAAATATGCTACTACTAATGATCTAGCTAAAAAAGACGAAAAATACTATTTAGTCACATCAACAACTTACTTGTAAACAGTAAATGTAATATTTTACATTGCCACAAAGATGTCATGCACTGCCCTAGATACATAGAAGGTTCTGACCAAACTGATATACAAAAGGTTACCGTAATCTTAACTCACCGTTCTGAATACTTAATCCAGTTGTATGATGGACAGCAATGTCATCGGTGATATTTATGTGATTACCAAACTTACACTCGGTGTGCATACATGATAGGTTTTAAGACTCCTAGGAGTAATCTATCCCGTCACATCATGCATCGTAAGATTTAAGATTTATCTTTTAAGAACCTGACGCTGACTAGTTCCTGATTTTTCCATTCTAGGTTTCCAAGATTGTTGGCTATATATGGAAATATATTCTGGTTCCATTGATTACGTGCATGATAGACAAATCCACTACAATAATTGTGGAATTGATTAGAAAGACAATTTTCTTCTTACCGTGATAGAGACAGTCGTATTTTGTATTTTCAACCAATAAGCAAGTTTTGTTACTGTTTGTGCTATTTCATGCTTTACATTTATCAATTTCATTATTTAATATTAAGCCTTTTCCTCAGGCGGTGGGTCGCGAAGGTGTTCTATCTTCAGCTTCATCTCGTGAGTTACGCTGTGGTCGGCGACTGGTATCGGGCCTCTTTTCTCGACCACGCCTGCCCCTTGGATATTCTTATGTGACTACAGTTCCTCGTGGAGCCTGCAGGCTCAATGTGTCGGAAATAATGCCCAGCGAGAACTATATAGGTATGTAATTGATAACCCACATTTTATATTTATACATATAAGTGAAAATCACCCGAAGTTGATGGTTGGAGCAAAAACGAAAATAAGTATCGAGATCAAAATAAAAAACTATAATTTAGACAATGATGAAATAAAGACGTGCGTGCGTGTAGGTGATGAATGAATAGTTTAAATAAATGAATGGGTTTACAATTAAAGTAGTTTTACCCAAGGTTACTAGGTTCTATCGATCTCACGGAACAGGTGTGACTATTAAGGATAATGGTCGCACCAAACTAACGTAGAGAGAACATTGATAGTTTTAAATCGTTCGGAACAAAACATTCATCAAAGTTGTTGAAAAGTATAGAACTGATGAATGGAACAAACCTATTTGCTAGACATTTTTATTTATCATTCTACAATACTTGGTGAATAGTCCTTTGATAAAGGCTAATGGTCCGCGAATGTAAGGTTTGGTCACTTATCAATCAACATCATTCATGTAGTGGATAGTAAATCATTCGAGATCATCTAGTTTAGGTAACAACGCCCACTTTACGATCAGTACTAAAATTAATTCACCCGGGTTTTAATGCGATGCGAAATAAATTTCTGACTTCATTGACAAGTCGTCTACAATATGTCCGTTCTAACAATTAGAGTATTGAACGCTTGATGCTTAACAATTGTGTGAAGTAAAGTAAATATCGATTTTTATGCTAAATTGATCATCGATCAAATTTCAAATCGGCAAATATTTAGCGTCCACTGGATGTTTAACAACTTGTGCGCACTTACAGCTTTGAAGATTTCCAACGGGTCGTACATAATGAATGGCGAGTTCGCGGTGTCAGCGCCGGGCACGTACGAGGCGGCGGGCGCGCGGTTTGTGTACACGCGCCAGGGCTCGCTCGACAGCGTCGTCGCACACGGGCCCATACACCACCCCATCGACATAATGGTAAATAGAAAATACATCATCAAAACCATTACAATTCATGTCAAATAAAAAACAGATACTATACATTATCCTCCACTAACCAGTTGCTATTTATTGATACCATAAATTGTTCAATAATCTGTTACGCTAAATTGAATAGATATTTATGTTACTTTTATTTCCAGATACTTTATACTCAACCGAATCCGAGTATAAAGTATGAGTATTTCACGGAATCACTTCCCAATGAGATTGAAAGTGATAAAGTGACGAAGGCTGACTTCCCCGAAGTATCGCCTACGGTTGCGACGAAGCATTATCGAAGGCATCACAACTATGATGCGTTCCAGAGGACAAACGCTGTTGTCCCACGACATCCAGACATGAGTTTTAGTAATGAAGATGGGACTGATGAAGTGGTAGCTGGTAATATGAAGTTTATATGGAAGATACTCTCCTATTCTCAATGCACTAGAACGTGTGGAGGCGGAATACAGGTAAATGACATTCCCATCGGATTTCCTTATTTTCAGTAGGTATTGTACCCATATAATACACTAGACACAGTAACTTTGGCCTATATGCTGCCAATCGTACAATGAGGCGTCTAGTCAGTCTGACCGATAAATACCTAATTGAAATCAATCTGTACCAATGCTTTATGACCGACGCAGTTTGATAGTAGTCCATTTCGGAACAATTGGTAATGAGCTGTTGCTTCTTCCATGAAGACTATGATTCCCTTGTATTTGCAATTTCAGTCATGATTCTTTTTACGACAAACAAAGTAGTTCTTATTAGTTTTTTATTCCCAAAATAGGTTGGTTAAACAGATGTCAATAATAAGAATGGATTGGATGCATGATTGATTTTTCATGTTCACGATCCTTCGGTTCTTTGGATTTATTTTAATTCTAAATATGTATATGTTTGACTAATAAAAATCTTTTTTCAGTTGGGTAAGTTCCGATGCGTGGAAGCTAACGGCAGTAACCGTGAGGTGGCAGCAGTGCACTGTTCGGGCGTAGCTCCTCCAGCTCGACGTCGAAGATGTGCCAATATTCCTTGTCCACCACGTTGGAGGGCTGCAGCCTGGAGCCCTTGCCCCAAATGTGGGCCTGCAACAAGGACTAGGATTGTTGGATGTGTCCAGGATCATTCAAGGGGTATTACTAAGGTACTGTTCTGTTAAATTGTCGTTATTTTCATATAAAACAGTATGTATTATAAAATATTGCTAGAAAAAGCAACCATCAATGATATGTATTGTTAAATAAAATTGTTTTAGATAAGCGACCAAAAATGTCCACTGCCAAAGCCAACGACATCGGAAAAGTGCGTTATCCCTGATTGTGATAAAGGGATTGGTGGAGAAGTGAGACAGATCTTGTCGAAACGCGTGACGAAGCCAAGGGACCACACAGATAACTTCAGAGAAGGTCCAGTGTATACAGTAGCTGTTAATAGCACGGACTTTGATGTTGGGCCTGCATACTCATTTAGTCCTACGGCTGGGTGGCTCTACACTGACTGGTCAGAGGTTAGTATCTACTAAATCATATACGGTGAAAGTTGATTATAATTTTTGTATCTGCATTTCTTAAACTGCTTAGATGTTTTTTTTTCTCATTTCCTTACAATCTCTTTGTTCTGCCTTACGACTGAGGAAAGCTCTATCAGTTTGCGGATAGCGTGCGTCGCTGCTCATAAATAAGTGTTCCGATATGATTATAATCTAGTAGAGATTTTCTTTCAATAAATTAAACATGTCTTACTATTAGTTGCCATACAATAATAGTGATCTCTCACTTCTCAAAGGTGTCCATGTATTTAATTGCTCAACTAAAATTAGAATTTACTTCATCTACAGCAAAATTTGTCCGACATACAAAATATACCTACAAACAGCATTCATTTTGAAAAGCAGCAACAATACTTGCCATTCGTATTAAAAGTCACACAACACGTCAAGATATTATAGCTTCCAACACCAACATCGAAAATCAGCGATACAACTAAAAATAGAAATCCAAATTGCATCAAAATTAAGCGGTGCTCAAAATTTTCATTGAACCGAGGTTGTTTATTTTTGTTGTCCTTACATACAGGTGGTCAAAGTCATTACCTAAGTGCATTGTGATTTATTTGTTATTTCAAGTCCACTTTTTGCTATACAAGTGCTTTCCTGACTACACATTACTTGTTGCAATAACGCATTGAGTAATTGATACTAAGAGGTATTCTTTGATTTATTTCCGAGTTAAAAGCATGCCAGTTTTACTAACAACCAATGCTGTTGATTTAATTAGTCAATCATTGGTATTTGATGAAATATTGGTAGAAATAATGGTAGAAATATTTGTTATATCGATAATAATTTCGTTGAAAATTGCACCTCTAATTTTTCGATACCCTAACATTCACATCACATTATCAGCCTTGACACATACGAAGAAGGTTTAAGCATAATCATCACCCTTGCTTAAGGTGGATTGGCGATTTTATAGTACAGATCAGGTTTCCTCACGATGTATCCTTTTACCGTATATCAGTGGTGTCTGAATAATCATGGAAAGTACAAAAATATAACTCAGAAAAAGGCACATTTGTATTTGCCAGGTTTGAGGCCCCTGATGCATAAAAAGCGGGCGCCTTAACCTCCGGTCCACCACGACCTTTTTCTGTATATAATATCCCAACTTTGCGTTTGTAAATCTTTGTTTACCTTTAACCAATTAATAAATTTAATAAATTGTTGTTTTAATTCATTTTTATGCTGATATATTGTTATTGTAACGTTTATAAGTCAGATTTAGTTCCTCCCATTCATACTGTTCTACAAATAGCAATGTTTATTTTACAATCATTCAGAAATAGAGTTCAATGGAAATGTTTTGCGAGAAAATGAATAATATTTGTGTCTTAGCCACTCATTCAGTGTGCGGAATATGTAACACTAACCTTTCATTGAAGCTAAAGGCCGCATTGTTTAGCGGTTTTTTTTTACTTTTTATTTATGATTTGTAATGAAATCTTTAACAGATATGTTTGTTTTTAGCGATTTATGAAGGAATTTGTAGAATTGTTTTTTTTTTTCAATTGGATCCTCTTCTGGAGTTTTACATTTAGACTGTTATTATAATATTACGTTCGTGTACATTTCGTTTATTTACATCTTTTTACTGATTCTTTCTAATAAACCTATTGTTGGAATGAAGTTTTTACTCATGATTAAAGCTACTGTTTTACTGATGATGGATGGTTAGCAATCAGCGCCATCCATGGACACTTGCAAAACCAGAGTAATTACAAGTGCGTTACCGGCGTTTTCGGGATAAGAGGTTTTGGGGATTGAGGGAAAATGGAGGATTGGGGAGGGGTCGGAGTATTCGGCCTCCGGTAACCACACTCACAGATTGTCATAGTAGTACTTGTTCTCAGTGTGTGGGCTGGTGCGTTGGCGGTGGCGTGCAGAGCAGAGGAGTTCGATGCGCGGATCCTTCAGGATGCTCTTCTAAGAAGGCTCCAGAGACCTCTCGCAGTTGCAGTCCGAAGATCGAATGTGAACCACTCGATGGACAATGGTTTACTAGTAAGTTAAGTTAACAATGTTTTGTACGGAATGAATAGAAAAAAAAGTTATTTTGCTTGTTAAATCTTCCCCTTGACCCTTGATATCGGCGCATAGATCCACGCAAGACATAATGTGTTTTCTATTGTTTGTCATATACCGGCAGATAAGAGGTTTTAGTGTGTTTAATAACCTTGATCGTTGCGATTATGTCAAAAAATGAGTTCAATGAAAATGCGACTTATAAGTTCATATTTTAAAAATTGGATGTGCAATGGCACTCCGTAGTATTGGGAAATCAATACATAATTGCGAAAGTACAACGATAAAGTTCGTGTCTGAAACATAAAATTATTTGAAATACGTAGAAATATGTATAAGACCACTATAAGGATTCAAGCAGATAGTGTCTCTTTACTTGTAAGCGTAAACCACTTAACATTGTAACTAAACTTATTGCACTGCCATAAAACTTGATGTCCACAAGAAGCTTAATTAAATTATATAATTATCACAGTAAAATGCCAAGCCAATAATGACACAATTCATAATGTGAATAATGAATATAAATGAAATCCTCAACAACTTAACAGCAACTTTATCAAAAAGTATTTTTGTTAGGTATGTTTCTTTTGTTTTACTATCCATCGTACTGGTTTTACTAAACTTGAGCTACAATTAGCAGTAGCTTAGTCTGTCTATCCCCAAGGGGGAGTCAGACTCTCACTGACTAAAAACCATTCCGTCCGTTTTCCTGCTCCGGGCCGGGACCGCGCTACAATATTACGCTTCCAGCAAACCCAGTTAGGTATCGGCCGTACAGAGATGTATTGTAATCTTTTCGATAAAAGCTATCTTTTCTTTTGAGGAGAAAATCATCAAATGGCTTCTCCCTTCTTGGGTGAGGCGGAGACTTCTACGGACTAAAAACCTCTAGGCCGAGGGCGCGGTGCCTAATTTCGACAAGAACTTAAGTTTTTAGTCTGACTAAGTAATATAGTAGTCTCAAATTTTTTTATCATTATAGGTGAATGGTCTCCCTGTTCAGCTCCTTGTCGAGGCAAACAAGTTCGTGGTGTTCTGTGCATCGGTGGTACTGGAAGACATTTGAAGGACACAGCGTGTCACTTGGCAAAACCTGCGCACGAACGAGATTGCTCCACCGATTGTAAACCAACCTGGTTCTATGGTGATTGGGGACCGGTGAGTACATTTAGAGTATAGTGATTTTAAGCGAAAGGTGAAGTCTTTTAGGTACTAACCAAAGAATGGTTTCTTATGTCGGGCAGTGCATATCAGAAATCGAAATGAATAAAAATGTTAATGATGATAACAGCTAAAGTGAATGAGCTAATTTGACTTTTCTTAATACCAGTGCCACATCTTCGTAGAATTTGCAGGTCCCACGCAAAAGGCAGCCTTGCCCATTCCAATTCACCTCCTAGATACTAATAAGTACTTTTAAGCGAATCACAGAATGACCTCTTGTGACTTAAAAACAATCAAACAAAAATTTTGCTAACGAAATGACATTGGAAAGCTTTCAGTTAAAGCATGAACATAATACATCAATTTATTAATTGCAATTAAGTAATTGAAAAAAGTTATATTGCCACTCGAATATATTATCAAAGGTGGACTTAATTTTACAAATTCTGAATGATATTGGAATTGCAATGCAGATACGATTTACTTATACAATTTTTGATTGATTTACACGATTCCTGTATTACGAATTAAGCCAATGTAAGAATGAGATAAAAATTTGTGGGAAATGATCTGAATCCATCGAAAATACATCAGTACGTACGCATATTAGGTTACTGGTATAGATTGGCAATTCAACAGCTGATAAAAGAATTTTGTGCAAGTCAGTTATAATTACATAGTTCTTTGTTATAGATAACAAAAAAGAAATATTGATAATATTTGATTAAGTATCCTCCTCCTATCTATCCTCATCTTTACCCGGCTCTGAATTTGGTCTTATCGCAATTAATTGCCTAATCATGTAAATCAATTTTGTACAGGATTTTTTCGTCTTCCTCGTCGTCTTCCAAAATATCTGTTCTTTTGTTACAAATATGATTTTTAAAAGTTATAAGTATAGTATTAATTACATTAACCACTTGTAAAAACTGCCAGATAGTGTTGCAAAGACCGTGGTAAGAGTTTAATATTTTCGTGTTTCGCCAATTGAGTGGTTTCCGGAAATCCAGTCTTCTCTCCCCATTTTATTCCCAATATCCAAAACCCTTGTTTGCAAATCCTTTACTAGCAAAGTCCGGTAACGTATTCATACTACTGCTTTGGTGTATTTTGCTGATTGCCTACCATCTGCCGGTCCATCTGTTCGTTTTTCACGAAATCTTGTAAAAAGAGATTTTTATATGTTTTCTGGTTTATAGCAAAGTCTAAAACATGCAGGATAATATTTTTTTTATGTAATAGGTCGGCAAACGAGCAGACGTACATATGACCTGATGGTAAGCAATCAGCGCCGCCCATGGACACCAGCAATGGAGGAGTAACAAGTGCGTTGCCAACCTTTTAGGGATTAGGGATTTGGAGATTTAGGGATTGAGGAGGGATTAGGGCAGGGGAAGGATTGGGCCTCCGGTAAACTCACTCACACGACAAAACACAACGCTGTGGTTGTTTCAGCCGGTTTTCTGTGAGGCCGTGATATTACTCCGGTCGAGCCAACCCATTCATGCCGAAGCATGGCTCTCCCACATTTAGACTATTAATATTGCTACTTTTAAAACCAATTTTAAAGATAAAAATCGATTATCATATCCTTCTAGAAACCAAACATTCTTCTACTAATCTAATCTTTAGTTTTGTCGGTTACGTTACAATACTTTTAGTCTCATTTGCTTGCGTTGCAATTAGTTCAAAGTCCACAATAGTAGGCACTATGACTATTTTAATTAAAATGTAAAAGGACACGTTTAATTAACTGAACGATATGAAGGGAGCCTTGTGATTGATATTCTAATTAGCGGCGTCTACCATCTAGTTAACGACATAGCTTTAGACACTTCTTCGTAAGTCCTAATTACTTTATTGCAACGACCTTTTCAATTCTCATAGGATCGTATTGTACCTAATGTTCATGCTTCGGATTAGTACGGATCTTAAACCATTCATTTAATGTCGGCTTGCAATAGCAAATTTATATACTATTCATAGTTATACTATTTACTTTAATAAAAGGTAGACAATATTACAAATTGTCCTTCATATCTTGATCAGTTAATTGTCTAGGGTGATAAAATAGAAAAATGTATCTACTATTAGTTGAAATGGGTCGATGATTACACTAATACTCTAATAATGTTTTATCGCACAGTGTATTGGCAACTGCTCCAATGGATCCAGTTCAGGTGTCCAGCACCGTTCAGTCGTATGCACTAAAAATGGCAATGTCTCTGTCAGTGAGACAGAGTGTAAGTCACCACGTCGAGCAACCCGTACATGTAAACTTACATGTCCATCTTCTGCATCTACGTCATCTTCTTCGTCTACTTCATCTACTTCGTCTACTCCATCTACTACGTCCACTTCGTCTACTACTCATCGAGTCTCAGTTGCTACGAGTACAGCTTCTAGAAAACAATTACAACCAATTGGTGAGTACTTTACTTGGCCCTCATGATTGTTGTACCTTTTAAACTTTTAAACCCTACGACTTTGTTTGTATGTGTAATGTGTACTGCTTACAAATATTTTATTTTTGTACCCTCGTTTGCACCCGGTCTTTTGGAAGACCTGATGAAAAAGATCACGTAGTTTTTTAAGCCGCGACAATTTTTTTTTTAATTGTAAGTAAGTGTATAGAAGATTTTAGAAAAATACTGCACCTTGTAACTGAAATTGACTTATAAAAAGACCGAGATCCTGTAGTAATTAACGAAGTGAATAAATAATAACTTCATAGTTTTGGAGCAATATTGCTAACACTGTGTTATTTGTTCGTAATTTTGAACATTTCTCCTGCGTTGAGTCTTAAATTATTCTCCAGGGAACGACACTGCGCGAGAGAAGGCCACGCAAGTTGCCTTAGTAGACGAGGAAGGCTGGACGAGCCGTATCATTTGGAGTCCGTTAGTGTTAAAACGGGTATACAGGAGATACCTTGAGACTGCCAGTTTTCAAAAACTATCTGAATTAATGAAGAAAAAGAAAGTGCCTTCCCGAGTACCGAGACGGGAAAACAGATTATTCAGAAAAAAGGCTTTCCGTCGTCATGGGTGTGTGGTTAGAGTTAAATAAAAGCAATAAATTACAGCTAGGGAAAGTTTGAGTAGGCCTGATTTGACTATGAAGTGTCTATATGGATTTCTATTTTAAATACATTGCAATAAAATTCGTATTGATGTAAAATCTTATCTATATTAATTTTGTTAAAGAAAAGGGGTTTAATTTGTTTATGGTTTCGATCTGAAGATCAAAAACTACTTAACCATTTTGTTATTGTTGGAAGACTTCATGGTTACCGGTGAACAAGAGCATGATAACGGAATGGAACGGCGGATCACAGCTAGTAAATATTTTAAGATAAGCACCTCATTGCAAAATTACAATATTTTTGAGCAGCAAGAAACAGGTGTTAACCGCGTTAAAGATAAGTGTCGATAAATAATGATAAAAACGAACCATTTTAGAAATTGTTATGTAGTAAAGTTTTGTAAGTAAACGAAAATGAATTCCTGATATCTATGATGATAAATGCAACGAAATCGTATGTGCTTATCAATAGTGTCTATGTACATAATGATTTTACAAAGATTTTTTGTATAGCCACACCCGTACTAATACACACAGCCCGCCCGAATGTGAATCACAAATGTATTCTTGATATTTTGAGATGTGAAACTTCAATTACTTTAAAAGAAAAAAAAAACAATAACATTAATTTCAGTTACAAGGTTCTGTATTTAAAAATATTGACATCTTTACTACTAAATATTTTGACATCTTTATTACTTAATGTTTATATTATAATAGATAATAATATATGAAAGGTAAAATATATTGAAGAATGATATCGTTCTCGAAGGAAACAGTATTTTTTGTCTTCAGTTTTTTTTTTATTCTGCTCTAATGATGGAAAAAGGATTTAGGTATATTAAAACATGACTCCTTTTTCTCACAGTTGTTTACCCAGTTTTCATTTAAAATATAGTTTCCTTTTTAAGTTATGAAAATCTAATTTTAGACAGTTTTTTATTTTTAGACTAAGCCATAAATTTTAATGTCCTCCTTTTCTCCATCCTTTTAGCCTTCGAAAATATATCTCTTCATATTAAAACTTCTAAAAATAACATGTCCAAACAAATTCTTTAGTCTACGTATGAAGTTATAAGTAGGTATGGAAACATAACAAGTGCATTTATGTTCACAGACTCTCAAATAGTTTCAGACCACGAGGTACCTCAGAGGAATGTTACTCAGAGGACCGCATCTAAGGATCGTGGGTCAAAAGGTAAGGGCAAAATGAAACTATTAATACATTCACTTCCTTATAAGTGTTGTTGCTATTTATATAGCTTGCCAAATTGATATGTGCTTCACTCGGTAGGGAAGATACACCTAAATAATAAGACTTCCTTCAATCTAGATCACCATTATCAGACTTAAAAAGTCAACCAAAAAGGTGGCATGTTATTGTGTACAACAAACAGATCCTCGTTGAATAGACGGGATATAAAATGAATTATTAATCAATAAAAAATATTATTTAGAAACTTTAATAAGAAGAGAATAATATCGATAGATATCAAAAAGCTTTTAAAAGAGATTTTATTTTATCTTTTGGAGAAAAATAATTTGAATTATATTATAATAAGGTTTTTAGGAAGATATAAAATTGTGTTAGAAGTGATTTGTAATTAATCGTATGCGATTATTATCATTCGATCATTTTTCGTCAAAAATGACTCGAAAAGCAACCGGAACCGATTTAGCGAGGGTTTTTGAGATAAGACGGTCTATTATCAAGGATTTTAATTTTTAAACTCTGAGTCAAAAGTTCCTATCAGTAAAGAGATATTTGTTCAGTCTAAACCTTTACGTCATTGCGTTTTTTACCTGTTATTGTACCTGTTATTCTCCTTACTATAATAAATAATAAATAAAATTGTTTATTCCATTACCATAGATACAAAAACAAGTTAGTGATTGGAACCTCCTTGTAAGCAAAAAACTATATGTATAGGTATACTTCTGCATTCTTTTTTTGTACAAGATCTCCTTAATAGCAATAAGCAATATTAAAATATAGATATCACTAAAGATTATAAGATTTTATATCGCGTAATGAATAAGTCTAAATAATATTTACAAGAATTAATGCTTCACATACTTAAATTATTTGTCTAAGGTTTTCGACATTTCGGCTTTTCTACAGTTAGTAGGTATAGTTTTTGATACTTATTTTAATAAAAGTATTCAATTCGATTATTTGAAAACTATCGTACTTATCAGGACGAAGCAAAAAAATTAAAAAAGTGTAACGATATAAAAAGGTATGACGATACACGTATTTGTTTTAAAACCCATGGACCTCAAAGATTGAATATCATAAACAATATTGTCTGAAAAGTTATTCTAGATTTGGCACTTCGTATTGTTAAATAAATTAAACTCTTTATTTCAGACCAGAGATCTACAGGGTAGAAAACATTACTTAATATTTTATAACTTGCCTTTTTATCAATTATTGACATGGACATCAGGGAGTCCTGGTTTCTATTAAATGGCGCATAAATTTGTGATATATACCAACCGTTAAATAAATTCTTCTCTTCCAAATACATTTTGGTGTTATAACATTTATAATTTTTTTATGTGATTATTTACATTTTCTTTCCCAGGTAACTGCGCCGACAAATTGAACAACTGCATCTTAGCTGTGCAAGCGCGTCTCTGCCATTACAAGTACTATACACATAATTGCTGCAAATCTTGCGGTGGCCGATGAAAACACAATATTGATAAAAGATAAAAGCGCACTATTATTTAAAATTAAATCTTAAAACAAATCTTCTAAGAGTACGATTAGTTTATATGTATGTTGTCAAATTGTCAATGAAGACTGGTTGGTAAAAGGAATCGGCGTAAAAGGACCTTGTATGAAAGGACCAAATTTGGTACCGAAGGACCGCATTAAAATGAATGTTTTTTGTATAGTAAATATCGTGAAATATACAAAATTTATTGAAAATAACGATTTGCTTTCGTGAATTAGCCGAGAAAAGCTGTACTAGTTGCAAGTTACACGGGACTCTTATTCATGAGTATTGCGACGTCGCCTAGACGGGCAATTTTAATTTAATTCGCGTGCGTACGTCTTTATTTTTAATATTAAGAGGGAATTAAGCGAGTGAAGTGAAAAAATTGGGAGGTTTGATTGAGGTTCGATTGGTTGGACATGACGTGGAATATTGTAAAATCGATATTATCCACCCCGGCTTAACACAAGAACAATGCTGATATTAAATATCTTCACTCTTTATTGGACGTTATAATATAAACATTTAATCATTCTAACTAGTAGTAGAATCCGTTGCGTAGGTACTTTTAACGATATAGGGACAGAGAAAACGTCTTTGCTTAATACTTTATTTTCTTTTCTTATATAAACATTGCCTGACACTAGGACATTCTCCTGTGCCGTGGGTACAAACATACAATTTCACATACACATCACGCCCAGACCCGGAACAACAATTTGTGGATCACACAAAGAGTTGTTCCGTGCGGGAATCGAAACCGCGACATGTTGCGCCGCAGCCAGTTGCCCAGGTATCGCGCCAACCGTGCAGTCTTTGTAGTGATAGTGATGAAATCAGTTTTATTTACGTATACTGTAGTGTGTGATTTTCTTTTATTTAAGTACCATTTTCTATGTATCAAAACAGTATATCCATATTTTTGAAACAATATTATGTAAGTTGAATGTGTGTTTTGCGATACGGAGACTCTATCGATTTTTTACCTACTCAACTTCCTTTGATCCTTTTGAGTAAGTAATGTTAAATAACAAATTTTGAATAACACTACATCGTAATTTGTTTGATCATCACAATTATTACAGTCAATAATTTATCAATTGATAATTTTAATGAGTTTATCGTAATCCTTAGTTGTAAATGTAAGGGTGTGAGTAAATTATTGCAATGAAGGCCTTAGGGACATTTGTTTTTGTTGAGAACATTTGACGGGGGTTCCCTTATACATATGTTTATTATTTAGTTATCAAACTATGATTGCTAGGTAATACGCAATTTTATTCCATTGTGAACATTTTATTCATATTCATAGCACGTATGATGTAAAAAGTTGACAATAAGTATACATTTATTGGATTCTACAATAAAGAATTTTCATTCTACAAAAAACAGGATTTTACAGCCCTAATGTTGCTCTCTGCTGTTGTTGGCTTATTTACTATTATCAATATATTAAAAAGTAATAAATTATTTTTTTATTAATTTACTTACACTGTCAACGTTTCCAAAATTATTAAAACATTAATTTAATTTAAATTAAATAAACAATTTATTGCAAATAGTAGCTTAACATAGCTTAAGAATTAACACTTTTATAATTTTGCTTATTTTGTGTGATATTTACGTTTAAGTATATTTCTTTTATTAATTAATTTATAGTACAAGTATGTCATGACTCAACTTAGCACTTAGATTACTCCGACGCTTCTAAGTTAATATATTTTATGTATTTTAGCTTATTTTTCTTCAGCATAAGTTATGTAATTACTTATAAGTACTTATGTATGTGTAAATAGATAGTTCTTTAATAAAACAAGTGATGATTAGATGAAGTTTCTGATGTTTTTGAGTTTTATTTATAAGCACCTAGTCGGGACCACCCTGAAAGTCTCGGGAATTTCAAAATGTAGCCTCGGACATTAATACAGTCTTTTTGACCACTATTCGAATTCAATACTTTTATTGAAATCTCAAAAACTAAACTGTTCTTTGAGTTTGGCATGGCAAACAGACAGAAAATGTGACGTCATCATATTTTCAATCAATGAAAATACTTTTTTCTTAAAATGTAAGTAAACTTAAGTGTATCGTGAAATTTATCAATCAATGACGATTAGTTTTCAATATTTAATTGTACTGAAATATTGAAGGAATTTCATTTTTGGCGGGGAAATACCCGGCAAACCGAACAATAGACTTAATCTAAACCTGAAACAAAAGAATGCTAATGCTTCGAAATTTAAATAGCTTAGAAAATAATCAGATTATGTTTATTTAATAAAATATTCGAACCTATTCCACTCAAGACTAGCGTGATGATCGTGATGTCATCGGATTCGTGATACATCACGGCTCACGTCGTCATATCACTCCGGCGCAGTTCTCTGGCAGACCGCCAATGAGATAAGGGAACAATGTTAATACGTAATAAATGTATCAATTACAACAACGGTTCAGGTTGACCTGTGTAACCTTTTGTGCAGATACGATGCAGTTGACAGTGACCTCATTGGCTAAATGCATTTGTATGTACAGGATGTTTGATAAAATGAATTATCACTATCATCACACTATAAGTGCCTACTGCAGAGCAAAGGCCTCTTCTCATACGGAGAAGGTGTGAGCATTGCTCAAGGTCGATTGCAGATTTGAAAATTATAATTCACTTCGATATCCTTTACCGTATGCCGTTGGTTTTTGAATAAATTTAGGAAGTGCGTTAATAGGTATAACTGAAAAAAAGTCACATGATACTGTTATGCGTAAGAGGCTAAAACCACGATAAGCCATCACGATATTATAAATGAATCACATACAATACATATATATATATATAATAATACATCCTTTTCGTCATCATCATATTCATAATCATCGACAAGTCACCTTTTCCGACCACTAATAAGTATATACATACAAGTACAACGAAAGGATTCTTATTGTGATAAGCGATTTGTAAGCGACATTACTTAAGCTTAAGAATAAGCCCACCCAATGCGGAATAAGCTTTTGGATTGCCATTTAAAAACTCCGTAAAGAAAAATGTTTTAAAATGAATATTCTGATGTCCTTTTCAAATTAAAAATACTAGGTATAAATCCAGTACTAGAAGCGCTGGTAATGTATATTTCCTGGTTTAGTTAGTGCCATTAGGCATAAAAATTAGCTTCAGAAACCTCATAAATTTTTGTTTATTAATTACATGATGGTAAGCAATTAGCGCCGCCCATATACGCCCAACGACGGAGGAGTTACGAGTGAGATGCCGACCTTTTTGTTTGTGATTTGGGAGGTTATGTCATCTACAGATACTCTCTTTCTCACATTCTACATTCTCAGTACCTATATTAAAATTTGTTAAAAGCCATATCCAGCCGGGTGTGCGTATGCAAGCGTGATGATGAACAATAGAACGAACTGGATAGTATTCAGTAAGGATGACACCTTTCGCCGTACTCAGAGTGGAAGAAGTAATCCATCAATTTAAAAATAAAATCATTTTATTATTTATCTACAAAGAACATCCTGTACAAAAGTCTATGCCTACTACAAAATATAGTTGTACTGATGTCTTAATTAAATGGATCTAATTATTTCGTTTGAAGTGAACAAGATAAAGAGAGATGAATTGCAATCAATTTATAAGATGCATGTTATTGCTCTTGTTTTCGGTGGCTTTATGATTAAATTAATTGCTAAACTTTAAATATCTTTATCAACATGTCACGAGTTATCGGCGTATCGTTTGAACAACTAAGTTTGTGCAATAATTAATAGCAAATCTATGAATTGTTTTGATTGTAAATAATGAAATGACTGTAATAACAACAGCCCACCCCAGTTTTGTTCGTCGTAGCCGTTTCCTGCCTAGTGTGTTGATTTTTCCTCATACAAATCTTATCTGATTTGGTGCAGTCGTTTAGTAGATACGCAAAAAGTCTTATCTTTAAGGGGACGTACATAGAGGAAAGGTGTTCTACTGTTTTTGTATTATCAAATTATTACTAAGCGTATTTTTGTTTTAATATTTGAAGTGTGACTGCCAATCAACAAGTCTCGGATTAAAAATCCCGGGACAAAATTAACGACAAAATCGTTTGTTCTTACTTAATCATTAACATTTCGAAGTAAATTAGTTTTTTGCTTTTTAGTTCACTTTTTTAAGCCGATTCTACATAGCGTATTCGACTGATATTGTAAGCTAACCCCTACAAGGAGTCCAAGGACACTCTCAAGTAGGTACTGAAATTAGGAAACACTATTAATAAGATAAACTTATAAGATACGTTCGTAAGTTTACTCTTAGTCTTACTAAACTTTTAGCAAAACGATAAGGAAAATCAAGAAAACTCCAGAAGATAGGTATCATTTTATCATTATATTATTTAAAAATACATTTTAGCCTGATTACCCAGGAATATTTGGTCTCTTACAAAATAAATTAATGTCTATATAATTAAGTTAATGTTTGGTTTATTAATTAAATTTGGGATATTTTTTGTGATAGAACGACGTACGTAGGGATTACCTGATGGTAAGCAATCAGCGCCACCTATAGACACCCGAAACATCGGAAGAGTTACGTACGTACGACCTTATTGGGATTAGGGATTTGGACATATTGGGATGGGGGAAGTGAAGGATTGGGCCTTCGGTAACCTTACTCACAGAGCGAAACACAACGCCGGGTTTTCTGCGAGGCCGTGGTATCACTCCAGTCGGGTCGACCCATTTGGGCCGAAGCATGGCTGTCCCAAACTTACATAATTATAATAAAATATAATATAGTTTGAAAACTTGACAATTATTCAAAGTTAATACTGCCAGTGTAAAATACGCGGGCGCCTGTCATGAACAACAATGAAACCATTGTTAAGACTGCAAAAGTAATAGCCCAACCTGACGAACCGAAATTACCAATAACGTTAAAATCGCCATACTTAATGCTGATTGCTATATACGCAATTATAATAGTGACAATTGCTACAATAACATCCAAAGTCTTCATCAAACTATTTAATCTTTCTCCTAATATTAAGTTCGCAATAGCTCCAACCAATTTCACGGAAACCAAAAGCATCACTAAGAAACCTGAAACAGAAGAAAAGCGAAATTTGAAATCTTTTTAAAACCAATATTTTGTCAGATGGGACATAAAGTTTTAGGGCTAAAAACTTTACAGATTTTATTTATATGTAGATGAAAATTAGCTTCAAGAATTCACTCCACAAACGAACATTTATTGCAAGTTAAGTTAAAGGTCATAACTTTTAAAGGGTCGAAAAGAAGATTGATTACAGTACTGTCTTCGTACTTTTTTGTGAGGAGAAAAATCATTGCCCAGATTAAGGCAAGAGGAAGTGTCAGACTATTATTGACTAAAAACGACCCGTTCGTTCTCCTGCTCCAGGACGGGAACACGCTACCTTACGCTTAAACACAACCCCGGCTATGTGAGTACTGAATTTTGGCAACAATGGAGAGAATAAGTGCACAAAAGACTTTCGCAGTAAGTTAATTTTAAGGATATTAATTTTAATTCCAATACTAGAAGCTTACAATATTCCAAATTGAAGCAACAAATATAACAGAGAATTGTTATAAAAAAACTGGGAACCCCATGCAGCCATTGATAATCTTCTCCCTTATAAGAGCTGGCGTAATTCCAATCAAGATGTAGTTTTGATACATAAAAAAATATATTAAAACCCACTTACCCATAACTCCATGAGGGGACGAAAAGTGTTTCTGGAAGTCAGCCACCAAGCTTATCCCTAGACAAGCTCCGATGAATACCAGGGAACAACCAACTATTTGAACTATCCAATATGTTTTTGTCTTCTTAGAGTACTTGAGACTGTCCTTGGACCCCCTGTAGGGGTTAACTAACAATATCGCTTGACTGCAAAGTATTGTGAGCTGTAAAAAAGGTAAACTAATAATTAATTTAACATCAAAAATCACTAAATTATTCTTATACTAGAATAGGTACCACAATTAAGAATTTTGTATTTGTTTTTATCAGTCAATTTATTTCTTTTAAGCGATGGTTGGGTTCGACTATTTAAGTAAAGAAAACAAATAATTCTGCTTACCCCAATAACTGATAAAAAGGTGTGAGCTGAAAATTTCCTTAGGAAGCCCATCTCTCCTATAGCAATTCCAAAGAAACCAGCTCCACCCATCAACACATGTGTGACGGTATTCATCACATTCATGCACCCTACGTACACTGAAGCCGAAGGTTTTTCCATTTTGTTAATGCTATATTAATTAGCTTCAACTTGCACACTACAGAACTAACAGGCAACACTGTTCTGCCGCTAGCACTAACATCGCAATAAATATTGGACAAGTACATTATCCATTATCTTGGATCACTTTGATATCTCATTAATAAAAAAGATTATTATTTTATTTTTAATCAAACCTGAAATTTAAAAATTTCTCTCTCTCTCTCATACTCAATTAGAAATATTGAGGCCAATGTATAGAATGAATTCGGAATTCCCATAAATTAAACGGTTAACAAACGGATCACCGGGAATGTTAACAATTCAGAAATTAATGCAAAACTATAAATAAAATAATTAAAAAAAAAACGACTTCAAAAAGTAAACAACAAATTTGCTTTGTACAAAGTAATCCATATTACCATTTAGCTAAATAGAAAATAAAATTTTATAACTATTTTATAATATTGACTTCGATGTCAAGTAAAATAAATAAATACCTATTGTTAGTTTGATAATTAGTAGGCACCGATCGATCGAAAAATATATTATTTTTCTAGCACTGTTGCTGTTTGGTATGTAATGTTTTTACTTGGCCCCGACTTTTTGAAAGATGTGTAAAGATCAAAGTAATGAGTGTATACAGTGGAGCTCCTCTCAATTTTTTGTCCAATAGGGGTTTAGCCAGTAGTAGTAAGAATTGAATGTCGTGGTGTCCCTTGCTCAACTGTGGGCAATTATAGGCCTATATATGAGTAGGTCATTAACTCTTGTAAAATTTGCGTCATCTTGTGTCCATAAGCAAAAAACGGTAGTGTATTGAATTATTTGTAATAAATTGGGGCTCCAGGATACTGTAATAGTACGATTAGTGTACGATTATCCAGGTAAGCTTCGAAAGCCCGGGTGTCATCATTGAGAGAGCTTTTCTAAGGTCACGGTGGAGCAAACGGTGGCTGTGTGGTTTGCTAGGTCGGAGCACAGTCGTGTTCTCAGGGAAGCGATCGGCAACCATGTTGTTGAGCGGGACGAACGGGGAAATCGTCTTCTCTTTCTGTGAACTCACAAAGAAAGAGATGGAGCGCGCGAAGAAACAAAATTACTAAAATTTATTTAGGATCTACGGCTGATTATTTGATTAGCATTAGCTGCTGCAACAACATTATATTGGTCCATTTGCGACAAATTGGCATGGTAATAAATAACCTTGACAAATGGGTATCCCATGAACGCAACCCTACAGCGGCCCTAATGGTGGTGAAGCTCTCAAGTCTCCAAACAGGCTTTGGTCAATCGCTCAGCGTTCACGATAACGCGCTACAGGAGGTCGGGTGGGAAGTGTTTCATGTCATGTGCCGTACTTACAGACTATGTGGATCATCCTCATCAGCCTATAAGTGCCCACTGCTGAGCAAAGGCCTCTTCTCACACAGAGAAGGTTTGAGCATTAATCACCACGCTTGCTCAATGCGGGTTGGCGATTTCAAACTTATAATTAGAAATTATAAGTCCAGGTTTCCTCACGATGTTTACCTTCACCGTATGTCAGTGGTGTCTAAATAATCATAGAAAGTACGTATAACTTCGGAATAAGTCACATTGGTACTTGCCAGGTTTCGAACCTACACCCTCATGCATGAGAAGCGGGTTTCTTAACCTCGGGGCCACCACGACCTATTCTCTGACTATGACTATATATATATATATGACACCAAGAAGAATAAATATTATAGAAGTCCGTATCCACATATACGGACTTCTATAATATTTATTCTTCTTGGTGTAAAACCAGTTCAATACTCAAGATGCAGAATTAAATATTTTTGAAGGATTAGTTGAATCAAGCCGATTTGTTCAACAATCATTAAGCTACCAACGCGTTGAAAAAATGCATTGATAGATTGGATTATTACTTTAATTATTAGAAATAAAGCACTTATAGAATAAACATCTTTTATTTTTATGAAAAACACCAACTTTATAGGAAGGCCGAATATTGAATAAGTAACAAAACTTTCATTAATAAAATAATTTTGAGGCGGTACAGAGTTCTTTTTTTAATGGTATAAGTCGGCAAAAAAAAGCCATGCTTCGGCACAAATGGGTCGGCTCAACCGGAGTGATACCACGGCCTCACAGAAAACCGGCGTGATACAACCACAGCGTTGTGTTTCGCCGTGTGAGTGAGGTTTTCGGAGACCCAATCCTTCCCCTCCCCCAATCCCTTAATCTCCAAATACCTAATCCCTAAAAGGTCGGCAACGCACTCGTAACTCCTTCGTTGTGAGCCTATGGGCGGCGCTGATTCCTTACCATCAGGAAATCCATCTGCTCGTTTGCCGACCTATTATATAAAAACAGGAAAAGTTTTAAATACGCTCAATATAATTAAATACAATTATCCTACAAACCATTGCTCAACTTGTACCTATCACACATCTGGCCCCTAACACAAGCCGGGTTTCGATAAGATAGTGGCACCCTAGTCTCATACATAGGTGTCGCATATAGTAAGGTACATGATTAAAGTGTTTGTATAAAAACATCACCATGCACACATGACTCCACGAAGTGGATGATGGAAAATAAGAGTGTGTGAGGCAAAAAATGTGTATTTTGCGAAACTGTTACGATCGTTTTGCAGGGCGGTTTAAAGGCCTTGAACATGAGGGATTCGGTGTCCGTGACCGGATCACCATACTCAAAGACTCATAACCGTTTCCCGGAATAGACAAGACGAAAAGGAACACTATACTACAAACTGCATCCTAATTAAAAAAACTCATCACAGTAATTTTATCTCACGGCTTCATTGGATCGACTGTAAGACTTGAAGTCAACTAGGAAGTACCGGCGAAATATAGCACATATGCTACATTTTGAAAACTGACGTGAAACAATCACAGCATTATGATTCGCCTTGTGAGTGACGTTACCGGAATCCCAATCTTCCATGGCCCCAATCCCTCCTCAATCCCTCTATCCCCAAAAGGTCGGCGACGCACTTACAACTCCTATAGTTTGGCTACTACATGGGCGTCGTCGATTGCTTGCCATCATCATCATCATCATTTGGCTGCACGGTTGATGCGGTGGCTGGGCAACTGGCTGCCGTGCAACGTGTCGCGGGTTTGAATCCCGCAAACAACACTTTGTGTGATCCACAAATTGTTGTTCCGGGTCTGGGTGGACAGGTAACAGCACCCACGACACAGGAGAAAATCCTATTGTGGGGCAACGTTTAAAAAAAATTAGGTAATCGTCGTTTGCATTTTTACTGCCAAAACACATTAAAAACAACCATTTCAATTAAAAAAGTTTATTGTTACTTATACATACCTCTACAATTAGGAGTAGTCTCGTCCAACATAGCCTCTGACAAATAAATAAATAAAAAAATCAAATAATGTCAAATATTCTCGAAGTTGTAGACCGCTACATATTATTTCAAACAGATTTCTAGCTACATAAATCCGAATACGATACAGAAGTTGCCCAAAAATAATCGAACTAAGGATGGACAGTGTTCGAGAAGTTACCCAAAATTCTCTCACCGAAAACTCGCAGTGCCTGAAGACGGGTGTGTTTATTTATTTATTCGAGATTGTGTATTCTTGTACAATGAGTACAAAATGTGGTTTCTGATGTGCGGCTTGCTAGGTCGATTTAAAATCGCCCAGCGAGCGTTAGACAGACCTACTGCGAGTATGCTTGATGTTATAAATACGTTATAATTATTATAATCTTAAGTGGTAATGCTGTGGGTAGGCTATAACCTGATGGACCCGAAAAGTATTCGAGTGGCGATCAGGGATCGGTACAAATAGCATGGGAGACCTCCTACTAGATGACTACTAGCAAATAATGGAAATGACGAGTTAGATTCCGACGTGGAGGATTAAGGATATTTGTTTAGCTTTGGATTTCTTCCAGCTGATGTTAAACTTGTCGCGAAATCTAGTTACCTAAGTATTTATATTTCTCTAGATTGAAATTTATTACTAAAATCAATAAAACTGCGATTATCGCAACAAGCTACAGTACTCATCCCACTGCTGATTACCAATCACCACGCTTCTCTTTATCTTGTTTTGATTTCTTCGTGATGTTTTTCTTTCACCATGTAATTGTCAAAAAGAAATTTGTGAATTTAAATTTAATTTAAAATCTTACAATTATTAAAACTTAATACTACCAGTCATAAGCACACGGGCGCCCGACATTAATAACAATGAAACCATTGTCAAGACTGAAAAAGATATAGCCCAAGCTGGTGAACTGAAATTACTAACGTTAACATCACCATACTTAATGCAGACTGATATATAACCCATTACAATAGTGACAATTGATACAATAACATACAAAATCTTCATGAAATTACTTAATCTATCAGCAAATATTAAGTTCACAATAGCACCAACTAATTTCACGGAAACCAAAAGCATCACTATGAAACCTGAAACAGAAGAAAATATTGATAAGTCTAGATGAATACTTAAAAGATGAACACTAAACGTTGTAACTGAAGATGAATGTACCGTCTTTGTATAAGTTATAGTTCGCTTTGATATGGTTAGTATAAAATAATTGACTTTCAAATGTTCCTGTGCAAGTACCAACATTATGGCACATGTGATAATACAAATTGAAGAAACTAATAGAACAACAGAGAATAAGTAAAAAAATGAGATCACGAATAACTTATAATTTTAAAATTAAATTAAACTTACCAGTAATTCCATGAGATGTCTGCAAGTGTTTTCCTTGGTTTAATATCCCACTTAAACCTTCAGATATCATGGCTATTCCCAGACAAGCTCCGGCGAGCACCAGGACACAACCAATTATTTGAATTATCCAATAAAATTTAGTTTTCTTCGGGAACTTGAAATTGTCGTTGAATCCCTTGTATGGGTTAACTAACAATATGGCTTGACTGCAAAGGATTGTTAGCTGGAAAAAATTAAAACCCTTGTTTTTAAGGTAGCATAAAACTTCGACTGTTTAATCGCCAACACTATATTTTGTATTATGTATATGTTTCTTTGCTTATAAAGTAACTATTTTGTTTATTTATTGTATCATATTTTTTATGTTATATTTTACTTTGTTAAAATTTAATTTTTCACTATATTAATTACTTCACTAATCAAGCCCAAGTTTCTTTCATAAATGCCTATGCAAAGGTTTTCTGGCAAAATCACCTTTGTAATTTTTGTGTGCCTTAAAATATATGTATGTATAAATAAATAAATAGAAACACAACATGAAAACTATTTTGCTTACCCCTATAGCTGTTAAAATGCTGTGGATATTCAATTTTTTTAAGGGAACTAAATCTCCTAAAGCAATTCCAAAGAATCCGGCTCCACCCATCAACAATTGAGTGATGGTATTCAACACATTCATGCACCCTACGTACACCGAAGCCGAAGGTTTTTCCATTTTGTTAATCAGTAGACCACCGCTAACTTGCACGATTTAGCTAACACTGGCCAGCCACGAGCACTAACATATCAATAAATATTCGAAGAGTAAACAGACCTTATCTTCGACAACTTCCATATCTGACTAATAAAAAAGATTAGTTATTTTTTTTTCGAACCAAAAATGTGTAATTGTGTTTTTTGTACAATATTATCCTCAATTCGGAATATTGAGGCCACAATTTTGAGCGGATTTTAAATGTATTTTTTTATGGGATAAACGGATCGTCGAATGGAAATCTGTTCAGAAATCCAATGCTATGTATTTAGGTTAAGGAAATAAGTTTTGTTCAGTGTTTTTGTCGGACATTCAGTTTTTGCCAGCTACAGTGATTAAACACTGTTACAGTGGTTAAAAACTGCAGATCTTTAACTATATGTAATTAATCGAAGATCACACAGATTCAAAAAACTGAAACAGTCGTTTGAAGGAAAGAATGAAGATATTACGAGTATGCTAGCGCCAGCATGTCATTATCGTGGGTTTAAAGGACCACGCTGACGCCGCTCGTGCATAGCACCTAATCGAACCTGAAGTTTCACAGGAGCAGTCCCAGGACCGATCCCCGTGACCGGTCACCAGGGTAGAGGACAAACCTGTCCATTAGATCAGCCACGACTGGATGATAGGTCGGAGGTAGCCAGGCACCTAGTGGTGAGTGCCTCCAGAATTCAGCTCTTGGGCAGCGGGTTGCAGGTGTCGGCGATGTGATGGTGATGTGTGAGACTTTTGTGGCAGTGTCTCTGAAACGCTGCCACAAAAGTCAAAAGTTTCCCCTGGCTACAGCAGACCTAGTTGTAAGGTCTCTCACAACACACCGCTCTCGGACTCAGAGATATCCTCTACTGACTCGCCCTGCATCCACACGCTCATGGGGACAGAACTTCAATTCAGGTTGCCCGCATCCTGCCCCGGACATCAGTGAGACAGGAACGTCAAGAATAGTTCTTAGTTTATTGAAGTCTCTTTATAATTTTATAATAAGCCGCTAGATCCAGAAAAACAATTTACATACTCGATACTATTTTTAAATAAAAAATATATCGACAATATTTAGCGATGTGCAGTATTTAATGCCGGGTACTGTATGACGAATATGTATGAAAAAACTAAACGCTTATCTTTTGATATATTTTGTAGGAAAAATGTTCATGATCTTAATAGATAAATAACTTTTAAGAAACGTTATTACGTAGATTTAAATGTAAAAGGGCCATTAATCAGCATGAGTGTAATCACACATTGTTTTATAAAAAATCGGCGAGAAATAACGTATCTTTGGAAAATTGGAATACAGGAACTGGAACTGAAATTTGGGATATTTTTGTGCCTTACACGCTGGGTGCCTTGTGAACACTGGTATTGAAATGTATGTATGTGGGAGATGGGCAGTATTTGCCTTCTAATTTCCAAGATATATGAATGTGAGCAATACTTGTACTAGACTTCGCAATGAAATTACTATTGCACATTACACTTTTACTAGTCAACAATGAGCTAGATGAGGATGGCATTTCCTATATAAAAAAAAATCTGAAAAAAAAAAACAACAAATCAAAAGGTCTTCTACAATGAACGCAAAATAGTAATCATTGGGTGATACAGATACAGACTAAAGTAGGTTTAATGTAGGGAACCCGATCAATGTTCGATCGCACTGCACGACTTGAGAACACGCCCCTTAGCCGATATATCATTGACTCATTCAATCGCCGATAGATGGCACTAGCATTCTGAAAAATACACGATTTCAACATATATGTTTATCGGAATTTTGAATTTTTCTGGCAGCTGGATTCCAATGGAGAAGAACAAGCATGCAACTCCATGGTTGCTCTTTTTAAATCAGGTTCACATACAGATTCTTTGATACATTATTTAGTTGGTTCGATAATGTGAGAACAGTGTAAGACTAATATTTTTACAATTCGAACCGACCGATTGCTAGCAGGGTCACCGCATGCTGGATGCTCTTAAGAACGCTAAAAACCAAATTAATACATCGGGAATCAAATAGGATCCTGTAAACAGTCTGTGTAAAGTGTGGAAGGGCTGTGAAAGTGCCGTTGTGTCCTGAAACTAATAGAGTTTTTCTCAGCTTATTAATAAGAGTAGCCGCCATTTTCAAAAAAAAATATTGTCTCACGATACTAAGGTACTATACAAAAACGCTTGCCTGTTAGTAGGATTTCAATCCATCCCCTCTCCCGATTTAATCCCTGTCTCCAAAAAAGGCCGGCAACGCATTCGTGACAGATGTCACCGATTGCTTACAAAAATACTGCTTCTTTGCACAAAAAAAATATTTGGCTTATCTTTGACTTTCACATTACATAGAAGGAAGATCTGTAGGATGATGATGTCTCATTTACTTATAATGAGATAACCAGTCATCGGTATTAACAATACTACAAGTATTAAATGTTAGGGAAAATATTTAGTTTTAATTCCGCGACAAAAATACAGGCTTGTTGCAGGATGCAATCCCACTCCTATGCAATCATGCATATGCACATGCAGCAAGGGGTCCCACCCTCCCGCTCACATGCACAAAACGGAAAGACATGCCACGCAATCAAACCTATACTCGACATGTGTTTCGCCCCTCCACAGGGCATCCTCAGGAGATGTTGACTCGACGAGTGCTCGGCTGCGAATGATTTTATAATAATAATTCGCAGCCGAGTCACGAATGTATTCCCGCAAATTAACGCCTGATTCTATAAATTAATACTACAAGTAATCACTTCGAAACCTAACGAACGATAAAAGATGAATTTTTTGTTTTGAAACAAAAGCATCTGATCTATATTTTACAATATTCTCCGTCGTCGGTTTGTAGATGAGCAGTTCTTTGCTTTTTTTCTAGGGAGGGAAATTGTCAATCGTGGGCCCTGGTTAGGTAGAGTAGGAGTGTTAAAGTCTTACTAATTAAAAGCCTCCCCGTTTCGACTCCTGCTCCGATCACGTCAGCAGTATGTCTTTGCGCTCAGTTCCAGTTTCTGGTGGTCTGATGAAATCGCAACATCCCAAGTGTGGGAGAACCATGCTTCGGCACGAATGGGTCGGCTCGACCGGAGTGATACCACGGCCTCACTAAAAACCGGCGTGAAATAACTACACGCTGTGTTTCGCCGTGTGAGTAAGGTTACCAGAGGCCCAATCTTTCCCCTCCCCCGATCCCTCCCAATCCCTTAATCTCCAAAACCCTAATCCCTAAAAGGTTGGCAACGCACTCATAACTTCTCCGCTGCGGGTGTCCATGGGCGGCGCTGATTGCTTACCATCAGGTAATCCGCAAGCTCGTTTGCCGACCTATTACATAAAAAATAAAAAACCGCCGTACACCTTTTTTGAGGTAGGAATATCGTCAGTTGACTTCACTTGCCTGGGTGAGGCAAAAGGGAGTATCAGACTCCTACTGACTCAAGAGCGATGCAAGTTGTTGTAGCAGCGGTAAGACCCCTCTTTGAGGAGTGGCTTGAGACTCACCTTCTGTCTGACACAGGTGCTTACCGGACACGGCAGCTTCGGTAGGTTCCTGTTTCGTATAACTTTTTTTTAATGTTTCAACACTTGCTTTACAACTCCTTTGGAAATTAGGTTTAGGGATTTATTCTCTCTATTAACATCGTCTCGAGCATTTGAAAATGAAATTCTCGCTTTGCGTACATACTATTGTTGATTAATATTTTTATATAAAGTTTTAAACTCTAAAACAGATTGTCCATCTTTGCTGTCCCAAATTCAAATTAATGTTTCAAGACCTTCAGCTAGGCTAGTAAATTACATATATATTCCATTAGCCTCTAAATATACCAGGAATAAGTATGGCGGAAAGACACCTATCATCTATGTTCTCAGAAAATGTAACATCAATGCTACATAGGTGTGCTTACTGCAGAGCAAAGGCCTCTTCTCACACGGAGAAGGTTTGAGCATCAATCACCACGCTTGCGCAATGCGGGTGGGCGATTTCAAACTTACAATTATAAATTTTAAGTCCAGATTTCCTTACGATGTTTACCTTCATCGTCAGCGGTGTCTAAATAATCATAGAAAGTACATATAACTCGTAAAAAGGCACATTGGTCGAATACTCATACATGCACGCATGAGAAGCGGGCTCCTTAACCCCCGGGCCACCACGACGTAGGTATGTGCAAACAGAATAAATGTATTTAAATCGATTTATAGTTTGCCGAATTTTTGAAATTTTAAAGTTAAGTTTTAATTATCCTTGTACTTTATTATTACTCCTGTAGTGTATTTAAATACATATATATGTTTACTTGAACTGTCTAAAAAGAAAGCTGTGCCTTCCTTTAATTTAAGAGCAGACTTTTGTTTGTCATATTCATATGTGTGTCTGTATGAATCTTAGTTGGTAAGCCTTGATAAAAATATAACTCAATAAAATAAAACAACGCTTGCTTTAGTAATACAATTTTAATAGAAAATTTTCATTATCAAACAACTTAAAAATAAGGGATGTATCTGTATGTCTATTAAGGTGCTTAATTGATCCGTCTTCGATCCCATTAGCCAAACTATTTTCATAGAACGGTAATGGAATCCGATAGAACAAAAAGGGACAATATTTCATATATTAATAAATATAGAAGTTTGCCGATGATGGATTGAATTGAAATATACGGGTACCATTACGTGAACTATTCGAGAAAAGTTCTACTAGTTTCGAATCAAACAGGGACTCAAGATCATGAGCTGCTTGCGTGGTGTAGTGATGTCAGTCAGCCATCTTGAACCGTATCTTTCAATTAATTTAATTACTAGTCACGTGTCAGTTACTATACAAAATGCTTTCCTGAACATTAAATGATATTTGTCTTATAAAATAAAGTAAAGAAGTTATAATGGACCGATAAAAATTGTGTTTGTTTGATTTCACATGAATGCAAAAATTTTGGACTTTGAACCTTACAAAGAAACGAATATAATTTTTATTTAAATGTGTAGCTATGATTAAAACCTTATACTACCAGTCATTATAACACGAGCACACATCATGACTAATAATGCGACGAATGATAGGACAGCAAAAGTTATACCCAAAGGTATTGTTGCATTACTAAGCCCAAAAGTCGACATTGCCTTATTATAGTCGCCAAACTTAATACAGATAGCGATGTACGCCATTATAATAGTAATAGTTCCTACCACTACATACAAAGTCTTCATAAAACTTTTTATCTTTTCACCTAAAAGCAGGTTTGCAATAGCACCTACTAAACTCACGGAACCCAATAGCAATACAAGGAAACCTGAAACAAAAGGAAAAAATAAATTAATTAAAATTGAATCACATTTTTTTATATAACTAATCGATTGATAACTTTCGAACGGTTGCTATGAGATATACCTATCGTCTCTAATTCATTACGCATGGAGTTTCTTAATCGAACTTATTGTTACATATTATTATTATATTCCACAAGTAAAATAGAAGATTTCAGTATAAATGGATATTATTCACGCACGATTAATGTTTTTATTGATATTCGACGAATAAGAAAACTGACTGCTTTACGTTCGTTTTCTGTGAGATCGTGGTATCATTCTGGTCGAGTCTACAAGCATGTCTTTACGTACCGGAACGTGAGTCTTCCATTCAAAAACTAATTGCAGCCGTGAAAATATAATAACGTAGTCTTGTATTTCAATTAAAATGCTTCCAAAAAGTTTCGTCTTTCTGCACTCCGTTAGTGAAGTTTTTTTTTTTTTTGAGGTGTGTATAAACATTTTATCGTCTAATAACTTCTCCGGGTCTGAGTAACGTAAAGGAGTGTCATGCTGATTAAAAACCACTAGTTCTTTCTCCTGCTCTGAAAAGGGGTTGCGGCTCTTTATGCGCAAGATGCCCGGAGGTTACCCTGCGTGACTGGGGCGTGAAGAGTATAGTCCTGCCTTTTTCTTGAAACTTTTCCTTCTGTGAGCATGACTGCTTCCCAGCTCCTCTAGCTAGCCTTTCGTGCCCAGATCTACACCATGGCCTCGAATAAAGCTGAGCAAGAGAGGTTGCCGCCGCCGATCACTTCCCTGAGAACACTGTATCGCACAGTGCTCAGCCCAAGCAGGATACGATTTGATCCACTACGTCCTCCGCGTGATCCTCGGAGTGACGGCACTCGGGCGTTATCTCCCGTGAATCCAAATTCAGTTACTGACTTGACCCTTCTATATGTTTGTGTCTAGTACAGATTTTTGCTCAATTTATGTGCCGGATAATCAGACTTAGGCATCTTACGAATTGACTGGTTCAACCGGAATGATACTACGGCTCCATAGATAACGTGAAACGACGCTTTTGTTGTGTTAAGGCGTTTGGATAACCCATTGACAATGAAGACCGGTTATGAGGGCAGCGCTGATTGCTTACCACGACCGTTTGCCGTATGTATGAATGTTATAAATATTATTATGTTTAATTTAATTCAAACTTTCTTCTGATTTAATTATATTCAATCACGATTTGTATTCTACGAATGTACGCAAAATCACTTACCAACGATTGCATGAGAAGTTTGCAAGTGCCTGGTGTTGATTGTAACTGGTATGGGGAACGGAAGAGTGATATTGGACGTTTCAAAAACTAAGGCTACACCAACACAAGCTCCGGCCACTACCAGGAGGGATCCAATTATTTGAATTATCCAGTAAACTTTCGACTTGCGAGGGTACATAAAGTTGTCTTCGAATCCCGCATAAGGGTTTACTGACAATATCGCTTGACTGCAAAGAATTGTAACCTGCAAATATTAAATAATTATATAAATTTATTTTTTATATAAATTAATGTATGATACATATGAACATATGATATTAATATTTTTACATAAGTGACCAAAAATTAAATAATACCAGTTTTACCTTTAAAACCGATTAATTATTTTTTATTCTATAGTATTTCCATAAGTATTAGAATTTTATAAAATAACAAATAAGTCTGAATTATTAACAAAAGAGGTTGCCTAAGTTTTTTATGTATGTTTCTAATGCAAAGTGTGACACAAGTAAAAACAACAAAACGCAAAAATAGTGCTTACCCCAATGATTGTTGTACAGGCGTGTCCTTTTAATCTAGCAATAGATTCTCCATCTATTAACGAAATAGTAAGGAAAAGTGCTCCACCCATTAATAAATGTGCCAAAGTATTAATGGCATTCATGCACCCTACATAAAATGAAACTTTAGGTGGAGATGACATTTTGTTGGTTAATTAACACCAGCACTTAATGAGCGACACTATGTAACCACGAGCACAGACAACGGAATAAATTTTTCACTGGTGTACCATGCACGATAGATTTGCTATCTTCGATCCCTTCGATACACGGCTGATAAAAACGGATTGTTTCCTCGTCCGACTCTCCGATAAGTAAATGTGGCGTAATAGAAACAAATACATATTTGGACCGTGAAAAAATATTCAGCCTTGAATTGTTCTAGTATCTTCAGAATTTTATGACTTTTTGACCACTAAACCACAAATCTCTAAATATAAGTTGATTTAATATTAACTATTTGATAATCACTACAAGATAATTACGTCCATTTTCTACTTTCTTCGCTATCATAAATGCTTTCCTTTTTAAAAAAGAACCCCAAATCTATTTCACCTAGAGTTCACTAGATCTGCACAAATAGTAAGTAAGACAAAGGAAAATACAATTAAAATGAAATTCTTAAAGAATAGGTAAATTTATTGAGTCCAATTGGTAGGTAGTAGGTATTTGTCGAAATCGATAACAGGTTTAATGGAATTTGTCACTCATTAAAAGCAATATAAATATTTTGATAAAAACGTTACAATCGTATCCGCATAATAATATAAGGATATAGAGATAGTTACTTTGATCTGGTTCGGAGTTTAATGCCTGTTGCGATGCAGAATTCCAAAGCTATCAGGACAGTGAAGAGGCAGGTAAAAACCATGAGGGTTAGAATGAAGCCATCTCCTTCACCAGTCCAAGTCCTGAATGACGTATAGTTGAAAGCTGCACAGAGGCTCCCAGTTCCCAGGAACATACTGCCGATACCACTGATATAGTGGAAGAACTTGATCCAGAACACGCCAATAGCAGATGAAGACAGTTTGTGAGAGAACATGACGAGGATCCCGTTCAGTAAACTGACCAACGCCAGTACCAAGGCCACTAAACCTGTAATGATTTAAATATAACTTTCATAAATCGTAGATATTTATTTTTATCAAATTCTATTACAAATCGAAATATGACCCGAATGAATTCCCGCACGAAACGACTCCTTGTGTAGATTTATAAATTGTTGTTCCGGAAAAAGGTACGATGTGTGTTTCTTTTGACTTTGTATTTGTAAACGCGGCCACGGTATAGGAGATAATCATAGCGTGGATGGTTTTAAAAAATAAATAAATGAATAGGGAAATATTACGAATTCATACATACATACAATATAAATAAAATTATTGTTAAAGCGACAAATTTTACGATCGAGCGATACAGACGTGTTCCTAACTTGTAACTATTTTAAAATCAATTTTAGTTTCCATTTTAGAGCTGGTTTATCACCTTAATAGTATAAGAAATCTTTGATTGTTACAAAATCTTTGAGGAACATGAAAGTTTCGCTACTTGATAAGACTTTCACGCATATACATAATATCTAACCCCCGGTTTCCGAAACGCCGATCAATGTTAAAATCAATTTAATATCTTGTCAAGTCATCTGATTGGTTGACTGAATTATCAACAACCAATCAGATGACTTGACAAGAGATTTAACAGTAGATTAGTTAATTTTAGAGTTGACAAGCCTTTCAGAAACCGGGTGTAAGTCTTTTTATTCACACAATGACTATGTAAAAAAAGTATCGCTAGAACAGACTACATTTATTACAGTGTTTTTTGGGAAACCTATACTTCTATACTTTTATGTGGTTTAGTAAGGGGCCATTGCTGTGGGCTGTTGTAGGTACTTGTAGATAGATAATCATAGCAGAGATGACGTAACAATCCAAGTGTTCTAGAATGTTCTAATGGAATGTCATGCTATCGATAAGATGATCGAAATCGAAATTTGAAATATCCATTAATGTTTTGAAGTGAATCGATAAGGATATCCCAGGTCAGTAGTTAAGTTGGAATTAATTCAGTTATATTGATGAGAACTTTGCACCTATATGGATTATGTATAATAAAGGTCTGCAGTATATATGATGATGGAGACCTTTGACAGTCGAGGGAATTCCTGAATGAGTTACAGCACTGAGCTCTGACTAACTCAGGACTACCATTACCGTGATTTTCCGTCCCAAGTAGCCGTTGTCTTCTCATTCGAGAAGCATCCTTGCTAAAATGGTGAAATAAATTTATTTTTAACAAAAAAAACGACTTCAAAAAGTAAACTAAAAAGCAAAATATATATTCGCTTACTAATAAATATTTTAATTAAGTTAAATAGCAAAATAATATTAAATAACCACTTCATAATCTTGAAGTCGGTGCCAAGTAAGTAGGTAAATGCTAGGTATATACCAAACAACAACAGTATTAGAAAACTATATTGATAGGTACCTACTAATCATCAGACTTTTTTACAGATAAATAATAAGTTTTTACAAAGAGTAAGTAATATCTATACATAATTATTGTTTTACTTGGCACCGAATTCAAGATTATAAAATAGTTATTAAATATTATTTTCTATTTAACTAAATGAACACATTTATTACTTTGTACAAAGCAAATTTATTTTTTGTTTATTAGTTAACTTTTTGAGGATGTTAATTTTATTTTTTGCTTTTAGGCAACGAGGATAGTAGTTCTTCTACTAGGAATATTTTTACTTTCTCCAAATACCTACAGTGTGGCGTGAATGTTTTGCGTCATAAAAATAAATGGTTATTCCTCATGTAAAATACTGGTCTAACCGTCTTACCTACTTCTAAGTACATGTTTATCAGATGTTTCCAAATTGAGTACAATACGCGGCCAAATTCATTGCTACGTATCAAGCATTATCGTGATATGAAACCCCCCTCTAGCCTACGTAAGTCTTATCTAGTGATACACAACTAGAATTAATAACGTAAAGAACTAACTTTATCACCCGTGTTTATTTGTGAATTTTTTCTTTCAATTTTCAAAGTAGGCCATGCATGATTTTCAAGACATTAATAGAAATGAACTTTGAAATGCGATTGTTGATCAAATATCGTATATTTTTTCTTATTTTTTGATTTTAACGGAATCCAATTAGAATTAATTAATTAATAAATGAATAAATAAAATTGACAAACTATAGCCCATGGCAAATCTATTTGAAGGTCCATTGTCGCCCGTCCTGAATGAAATATTTTTTGTGTGAGTCATATGGTGTCAGTAAAGATATTCAATCATTACAGTGATGCGTTGCCTCTCTGTGACGAATTGCATTCAGATCTGTTCAGTAGTTTTTGACATCCATCCTATATAACTTTGACATTACAATATATGTATATATGATCAAGGCAACATGTAATTACCTATAATGGCACTGCTCAATCAAACAACTTTAGGATCAGACACAAAACGGGAAAACGCGAAGGAGAATATTGGCGCGCCGGTACTTCACAACATTGTATATGATCGTTCATTCAAATCCCGTTAGGAATCACGCAACGTATGGAGGCTATAAGTTAGCCTTGTAAATCGTAGAGTGCATACATAAGCCTTCTGTAATAAATAAGTTCTAAAATAACTTATTTCCTTTAGTTAACTTTTATAACTCGCCAAATGAATGATGGCGTCGTGGCCGCGGGGATAAATGTATGGAAAATTGATGGTCTGCCTATTTTTATTTAAAAATACTGCCATAGAGTATCTTTTTATGTTATAGGTCGGTAAACGAGCAGACATATGTATTTATAACCTGATGATAAGCAATCAGCGCAGCCCATGGACACCCGCAACATCAAAGGAGTTACGAGTGCGTTGCTGGCCGTTTTGGGATAAGGGTTTGGATTGAAAAGGAATGGGGGAAGGGAAATGGTAGGGCCTCCGGTAACCTCACTCACACGGCGAAACACAGCGCTCTAGTTGTTTCACGCCAGTTTTCTGTGAGGTCGTGGTATCACTGCGGTCGAGCCAACCCATTTGTTCCGAAGCTTGGCTCACACACACTTAATCGTATTTAATTCATTTTGAACATATTCCTTGAAAAATAATACTGATTCTACTCACTGTGAATTATAATTTCCGAAACACAAAGCGATACTTATCAATAGGGTAAAATTTGTTGCGGTATTTCTTGTTCTAATCTATACTAATATTATAAATGCGAAAGTAACTCTGTTTGTTTGTCTGTCTGTCTGTCTTTTATTCACGCCTAAACTACTGAACCGACTTCTGTGAAATTTGGTACAGACTTTTTTTGCAACTCGAGAAAGGACATAGGATAGTTTTTTTACCAAAAATCTGCCAGGAGTCACTATTCCACGCGAATGGATACGCTCGCAAAAGCTAGTTAATATTAGTTTACTTGTCTTCAATGTAGCTAGGCTAATGGTGGATGTAATGTATTTATATATATGTTTTCTTTTTCAATTCCAATCTATAAAATATATTTCTGGAGAAGACAAACAAACTTAAAAACAAATTGTTTATCTTTATATTATTAGTGCGGATTAGTAATATCTGTTTCACTGATACTCCGCTGATTGAACGCCATGACTATGCCGATAAAAACTCAGTTTGATAAATTCTGTTTAGTACTTTTTTTATTTATTTTTCGTAAATTTATCTCAATGTCCTACGATTATGAAAAAGTGACCAATAAAATTGTGACCCAACAAGTAGGTAGTTGAGATATTAATAAAAAAATATAGTAGTCGATTTTATGAATGCTATTTTCTGCTCGCAACGTCGTCAGCGTAGAATAGTGACTTAATGCAGGTGTCCTAATTTTATCTATATTTTTTAAAAGTACCTACTACTACAACGTTTTTGATTTATCGATATAGACAATTATTTTTTAGTAGTACATATACACCGGACCCATACTTTTTTTGTCAAATGACTTCTCCCGCCCAGGGTTGGGCGAGAGACAGTGTCAGACTCTTACTGAATAAAAACTCCCCGATCCTTCTCCTGCTCTGGGCCGAGGCCGCGGTGACTCATTGCGTTTAATCCGCAACATCGGCTGAACATCAGCCCTATAGGGCCCCGTCTGTGGTGGTCCATTGGCTCTATGAGGCGCGCGTGGAACGCTGCGCGCCGTACGCTCGGGACTGGTTCTGGTCGGGCAACGAGCTATCCTTACTCGCCGTCTGCAGACCCGCGCTTACGGTGGGTTGACATCATCTCTCGATCCCCGACGCCCGGAATGTCGCCTACTGCGGCGGCTGGGGCGCGAAGAGGATAGTTTCCTCACGCGCTCCGCCTCCTCCTTTGCGAGCATCACTGCTTCACAGAAAGAGCAGACGGCTTCCCAGTTCCTCTCGCTATGAACCATGGCCTCGACTAAGCCTGGGCGCCAGAGGTCGCCGCTGCCGATCACTTCCACGAGGACACGGCGGCGCTCAGCCCAGGCAGGGCACACCGCCACCGTATGCTCCACCGTTTCCTTTAGGTGGTCTTTACAATGACGACACTCGGGCGTTTCCTCCCACTGAATCCGAAACAGGAACCTACCGAAGCTACCGTGCCCGGTAAGAACCTGCGTCAGACGGAAGGTGAGGACGCCGTGGCGTCTCTCAATCGGACCCATGCATGGAACATCAATTTTTGGATCTCACAAAGAGATATCGCTCTGTGATAAACTGACTACACGGGTGACGCGGTGGCTAGGCAACCAGATACCGCGCAACGTATCGCAGGTTTTGTTCCTGCACGGAACAACTCTATGTGTGATCCAAAAATTCCGGGTCTGGGTGTGAAGTGTATTTGAAATTGTATGTTTGTAAACGCAGGAGAAAATCCTAAAGCGCGCAGGGTTTTATTTAAAATAAAACTGCCATCTGGTTTTCCGATCTCAAATCCCAGTACTAGATTAGAGATATCATCACTGAGTTTAATAAGTTCTGACTAGTGACTGTTGGATGACAAGGACTAAAAATCCAGTTCAGTAATATATATACCTATAGAGATAGACCTTGTATGGTTAACAGTTGAAAACTTTACTACTACCTATGCCTTTGGATTATCGTCACATAGAATCGAAATATAGATGGCGTTACTATACTTATTTTTCAAAGTGCGACATGTTTGTGTGGCTTTGTTAGCAAGGCAGTAGGGAAGCGTTGCGAACAACAATATTATCACAAAAGTTGTAAATAATTTTTAGTTATAATTTGCGATAGAGGAAAATCATTTACTTAGTTCACTTGTAGGCTGATGATGACGATGATGATAATGATGATGTGCGGAGTTCTATAGGAAGACAGTTGTAGACTGTCACTATCACAGGCTATTGATGTTACTAGGTTTCATCTCACAATAAGATTTTCTTATAAGTTTTTTTGGCAAAAGAGACACTTGCAGTTCAACTGATTTAAAGCAATCAAGGGTTTTTTTTTTGTCAGGGGAAAATCATCAAATGACTTCTCCTGCCCAGGGTAAGGCGAAAGAGAGTATCAGACTCTTACTAACTAACTCCTCTCCCCCCACCCCCAATCCCGTTCCTTCTCCTGTTTAGATTTTTCCCTATTAGCCCTATAGAGCCCCGTCTGTGGTGGTCTATTGGCTCATTGAGTTTCGCCGTGTGAGTGAGGTTACCAGAGGCCCAATTCTTAGGCGCGGGTTTCTTACTATCAGGTTATCCGTCTGCGCATTTGCCGACTTACACCTACGATAAAAAAAGAACGTAAGCGTTCACGCCGGTTTTTGCCGGCGTTTTATGCCAGTGTGTTTTCAAGGTTTGAGCCGACCCAATTTGTCCAAAAGCATGGTTTTCTCACTCACTCTTACTTATTAATAATGTAGATTGTTATTTTATTTACCAAGTATTCCATGAATAGATGTGAAGTGGGTATCTTTCTGAAGTATTACAAATACAGTTCCCGTGGTTACTAGGGCAACAGCAAACACTTGGAGTACCCAATGCAGGTGCTTCTTGTACCGACGAGCTATGAACATTGTCCAGGTGTTGTACTCCGATATGATGAGTGTCGCATGACACATGAAGAATTGGTACTGGAAATAAAAATAAAAATGTAAAACAGCAATTTGTAAAAGTTATTGAAGAAAGCGACTTTTTACGAGCGCAAACTGAGAATAGAGAGTCCCGTTGTGACTTGAAACTTGTAGAGCTTTTCTCAGTTAATTCATGTGAGTAAGTCGTAATTATCAATAAATTTTATGCATCTTACGATAGTTAGGTATTATTCAAAAATGTGTAGAATTCTTGAATTGAGAAATATCCTCTTTTTAAAGACGATAAAGAAGATGAGATTGATATGTATTTCGGAATTGGGCAACTTTTACAGCTAAGTGAAATAAATATGGTAACGTACGTTTTTACCCGCGATTCCGTTCGCGTGGAATAGTAACTTCCGGAAAATGTTTGGTATAAAAACTACCCTATGTCTTTTCTCGAGTTTTAAGATATGTCTACCAAATTTCACAGAAATCGGTTCAGTAGTTTAGTCTTGAAGAAAAGACAGACAAACAGACAGACAGCATTCATAATATTACTTTGGATTTGGATTCTGTAGTTTGCCTTTATTATAAAGGTCTGTCACGTTTTCCGGCTGAGGATGATGATCTCATCTTTTACCACCTCTTGCGAAAACTAAATGGCCAATTGGTGCCTACGTGACTGCTTTAGCCATTTGAAAAAATATACCTCTGGAACTTCAGAGACGTAACAGATGTGTTCATACAAGAAGGATACTCTTCCAACATAATATACAAACAATATAATGCGTAAACCAGTTGCAAATGTAAAATAAATGTTGAATTGTAATGAAAATTAAATAAAATCTTACCCCAAGAACGCACAAAATGATGTGTAGATTAAATAAATTGATACCAGAACTGCAAGCGAACCAGAGACATATGAAAACAATCAGAAATATGAGTACGTGGTTCAGTACATTGATGGTCAACCTCATTGATTTCATACACAAATTATCTTCTATTCTAGAAGAAATAACTTTTTCTTCATTGATATGATTTTCTGGAATTTCCGCTGACATTTTGAAGCACGTTCAATACAGTTCGAACAATAGACATTGAATGTTGAAATTTAAGGATAGACTTAAAGATGTAAACACTTTTGTATATTGTTAGGGTGCTTCTAATATGAAGCTTTACATTTTCTTCTGATTTCTTGAATCAACGTTTCCAGGTCCAAATGCTATTACTTAGAGGTTTGGTTTTCTCGAAAACTCTTGGCGGGTAACATGCGGGATCTACATCGTCGCCGTCATCGCGTTGCACACGCTAGTCATGGATAAGAAACTTGATGTGACTTGAAACTTGTAGAGCAATATTTTGTCGAATAGTTCACGCTAGTAAGTGGTTTTGAAATTATAACTAATACTAAGTAATCTTATATACTTTATTTTTCTATCAAGGCAGGCTATGCCCACGCCTCCTCTTTCCCTCTCTCTCACATCTCCTCGCACTTTTCGTCTTAAAAATTTTGGCACGTTATCACATTATGAGATTCTTATGAATAAACCTTTACACCTAAAACTTCAGTTATGAAGTGCAAAAGTATCGATAACATTATAATCTAAAGTAGCCGCTTCAAATCAACAAATAGAATTGGATGAATTCGAGTAAGTCTACATTATATATTTTTATAAAATATAAACTATTTTAATTAGCTCTTGAAAATATTATCTGGATTGGTTTTCAAGGTTAAGTCGATCGTTGAGTGGACTGCATAATTATCCGGTGTTGTATCGTAATACTGAAGCCTTGTTTTTTTGTGTACAGGGTGACATCATCAAGTTACTTCAAGACTAGACTAGAGTTTCTTCATTCTCCTGTTCCAGATCTTAGCCGCTGTTAATTATTGCACTTGTAATCCTTGGTGAACATCAGCCCTATTGGATAATCTGGAGTGGTCTTTTGGCTTGCGCGATTGGAACGCTAAATGCCGTATGTAGTCGTAAATGGACAGGGGTCTGGTTCTGGTTGGGCAGCGAGCGACCTTTGCTTGCCAGTTGCACACCCGCGCTCCTAGTGGCTGGAAATACTCGAGTGTAGAGTCCACGCGCGCCTCAAACCACCACAGATAGGGCCCTATAGGGCTGATGTTTAGCCGGGGTTGCAGGGTAGGTACAATGAGGCACCGTGACTTTGGCCTAGAGCGGAAGGAACGTGTGGGTTTTAGTCAGCAAGAGCCTGACACTTCCTCCCTCATCGCCCCGGGCGGGAGAAGCTATTTGATGATTTTCCCCTGACAAAAAAAAAGTGGCTGGAAATCGTTGCAGTCTTATATTGTGATGTGATTCCTTAAGAGCGCTTACGCGTCATAGTCGCCATACAAATTACTGAAATCCAAAATTTTGAAAAGTACCTTTATCTTTTTAATGTAGCTTGGCGTTTACACGCAAAAGATATACGAAAGACTAAAAACTAAACTTAACAAAAAAAAAAACAAAATTAAATTAATTAGGTGCATGTGATGAATAAAAAAATTATTATTAAAAAAACAAAATACCCGACTGCACACCAAAAAAAGAGTAAAACAAGCCCCACAATACAAATTTACTGAATATAATTTATAAATGTTGATGGAAAGCATCGCAGGCGGGGACCAACAGAGGCTTATTTATAGTCATTTCTGTTGTGCACCATTTAGCAGAATTTTCGTTGGCGGCGGTCAAGGTGGTCCCCGCCTGCGATGCTTTCCATCAACATTTATAAATTATATTCAGTAAATTTGTATTGTGGGGCTTGTTTTACTCTTTTTTTGGTGTGCAGTCGGGTATTTTGTTTTTTTAATAATAATTTTTTTATTTATAACTTTTTAGCTGTTTTTATTTAACGAAAATGTTGTAGATGTAGAAGACTATGTATATGTAAGTACCATTTTAAATTATTTCGACGACATTTGGCTTTAGATTACGAGTGATGTTACTCCGCAACATAAATTTACCGCCAATCTGGACTGTTGGTAGTGAGCCACGCCCTATCTTTTTGCTTGCTAACGCATGAGTTGCTTTGCGTTGACGCAGAATTAACATGTTCCCGTGGGAATTTTGAGAAAAAACCTATCCTATATTAATTACTCCCGTGATTGAAATGAATCTAATGATACCGCATACATATTTTTTTAAAGGAAAATTTAGAAAAAATATTATTATGTCTTTATCCCGTGGGACTTTTAGGATAAAATGTATCCTATGACACTCCCGTAATCAAGACAAATCTAACGATACCTCATACATCAAAATCCATCAAGCCGTTTAGGCTACAGGAGGTCACAAAGGAAAAGACATACATACATACTTACATACACTCGAAAAACATTACCCTCCTTCTTTGGCAGTCGGGTAAAAAGGGTTTAGAGTGACAGTCAGAGCTAATAATATTAGGTACTGTGTATTAAGTTTCTACATAAACATAAATCGCATAGTCAATTTTATTTCGAGAATGTTCTTTATTAAGTACTAGCTTTCGCCCTCGACTCCGTTCGGGTGGAATAGTGTCTGCAGATTTTCGTCCTTCCTCGAGTTCCAAACTATGTCTGTGCCAAATTTCACATAAATAAGTTCAGTAGTTTAGGCGTGAATAAAAGACAGACAAGCAGAGTTACTTTCGCATAAGTATAAATATATATTAGTTTGGATTAGACCTTGATGTGCCACGTATAAGTACCCAATTTCATTAAAATCAATTCAGTAATTTTTCCTTGATTTTGAAGTTACTAGCTCGTACGATGTAATTGTCCTTAAGCGGCGATTGTTTATACTCGCCTCGGCACCAAGAGCTAGGCCATCAAAGTAGAATGTTCATTTTAACAATTATTATAATTTTATTATATTATTATTATAAAAACAATTATATAAACGAGTAATACGAAGGACTTTGGCATTGCACCCTGTTTATAGCAATAGACTCTTCTCCCATTTCTCTGGACTCATAACATTAACTGTTTTTATTTTTTTAAATTTATTTTTTTTAAAAAAGCTTGCCCTGCACTTTGATTGTCCTGTGTCGTGGGTGCGTTTACAACCATAAATTGTTGTTACGTCGTCAAAAATTCATCAACACGTTTTTTAAACGTGGGAGCTTCGGCACGAATGTGTCGGCTCTAACGGAGCAATATCACGGCCTCACAGAAGAACGGTGTGAAACAACCACAGCGTTGTGTTTTGCCGTGTGAGCGACGTCACTTGGGGTCAAATCCTTCCTCGCCCCATCCCTCCCCAATCCCCAATTCCCCGAAATCCTAATCCCAAAAGCTAATTCATGCTTTAATTGCTTACCATCAGGTAATCCGAATGCTTGTTTACCGACCGATGACATAAAAGAAAATCAAGAGTTATTTCGTTCTCCGTTGCTAAGTTGGATGGCAGCCGGTTGCCCAGCCACCGTGACAACTGTGCAGTCTGCATCATCATCATCAGCCTATAAGCATAGGCCTCTTCTTACACGGAGAAGGATTGACCATTATTTAACTTGTTTCCTCAAACCGGATTGGAGATTTAAAACTTTTAATTATAAATCATAAGTCCAGATGAGGAACCTGATTACTAATCCGCATGAGAAGCAGGTGCCTTAACCAGAAGCGGACGCCTTAACCAGAAGCGGACGCCTTAACCAGAAGCGGACGCCTTAACCAGAAGCGGACGCCTTAACCAGAAGCGGACGCCTTAACCAGAAGCGGACGCCTTAACCAGAAGCGGACGCCTTAACCAGAAACGGACGCCAACCTAGCAGTCTACGAGGGTTCGTCATATAAACGTCCTACGAGGGTCCGAAAAATAATAACAACAACCAGTGTTTAAAGCTTATTATTTTTGTACATTGTTATATGCATCATTAGTACAGAAAAAAGATTTAATTAAATGTAGGCAAAACTAGTTACATTTTAGCGAAAACCAATTATTACATACATACATTATTGTGATGGTAAAATGTTTTAAACTAATACAATCGTATAAATACTTAACAGCCAGTAAGTAAATGCACTATACATATAAAAATAATTATCTATTTACACAATGCGACTCTTTAATAATACAAAACTGACTCTTTGATAAATAGAATCGGTGTAATAAGTTATTATGAACACTGATGCCGGCGACACACACGTGAACAGCGTTCGGCCTACTAAGGAACGCGTAATGTAAGCCGTACAATTTTACATTACCATCCCTTAACGACGAACAATCGAAGGCGTGTGGAGCCAGCATTATAGTTTCTATAAGTACATACCGAAGAAACTATTAGAACAATAAGAAATACTATTTTTGTTCTTAATCTACATTGCATAGCCTAAGTTGCATTACAAATGCAAGATGAACTGTAGCTCCAAACATGCTTACATGAATTAATCTCCTAAGTAATACAGTACACGAAATTCGGTAGAATGCATTTCCATTTTGTTACAGGCAAGTTATAAAAAAAAATCCTACGCGTACAAGTGCTCAACTCGATAACATGTCGTGCAGTAAATGTAAAGATATAAACGAAATGATTTTTATTATATATTTTTTTTTTCACTTTTATAATTTTGTAAGTTCTACAGTTCACAGATCTGGAGATCACGAAACTATTCCTAATACTTACAAGAACTCGAACGTTTATTCACTTTTGAGCCGCGCGCAAACTGACATCTTCGTCAATAACACCTAACAGTTTAATGCTGAACACAGTAAAACATTGAGTAATTAACTCGACAGAGAATTGAGTGAGTCATTTAGGTAAGTCAATCCGATATCTAGTCTTAGTCTGTTTCACTTTGGCTTGATTCAGACTTAATACTCGGTGTATTAGCGTTTAACCTTTCCTAACGTATTAATTGAAGCGAACACGTTCCACTTTCATCGTGAAAGGATTCATTGTAACTGTGAGTATTTGATCGCGTTGATCAGTTACGGGCTTAGCGTGTGAGTTGGTTTACAGACGGAGCCGCGGCCCTCGGCTTGTTAAACTTTACTTATTCTCACTATGCGTCCATTTTGTATCACAATACGTGTAATAGCGCCTTAGTGTTCAATGTTTGTACCTGTTGGTGAGATAAAGTCACTATGAGACAAATAATTAAAAAAATACTGAAGAAACAGGTAAAAAAATTACGTGACTTCTAATATGTTA